TACTCTTTGAGTATGTAGGGAATCTAGGGTACAGCATCTTGCCAGTACTTTTTGAAGGGGCAGTCATCAACAATTATTTGTCATGATGGGCTGGGCTATTGTCTCTGAAGTCTCTCAAGCAGATGTATATTATATATATATTATATGAAATATATGGATGTCTCAGGGCTTCTCAGAGGGCACTTGTGGCCGTGGAAGGTGCCTGATAGTGAAGCCAATCTCAAGCCCCACAAGGATTTTGACGGCTCAAACGCATCTCCACCTGGAAAATTATGTTCAACAGCAATCGCCTGGCCTTGCAGCTGGCAAAGCATTGGTTTTCAAATCTATTTTCACAACGCTTCCTTCAAACACCATCATGGAAGCAGAACAGAAGGTAGCATGGGCTGGTGAACCTCAGAGGGCTTGTCATCATTCTTTGCCTCAAGTCTTGCCGTGGTATGGAAGAGAGATGATCGTGTAAGTTTTACTCCCCTGCAGATTAACATGACCCCCCAAAAGCACTGGTTGATAGAGAACAAGCATCTTTGTACCATTGTGAGGGTCCGTGTTAGTTTGGAGTGTCACATAGATGCTCAGGCGACGAAATGTGCGTTTCCATCCGAACAGGGCTCCTCCGCCAGGTTTCGGCTTCACAGGGCTCTTGGAAGGAGCCGTGTTTCCGCGGTGCAGACGGCGATGCGCCATGAGAGGCGAAAAGGACAGATGACGAGAGAAGGTCCGGCTCAGACGAGAGAATGAGAGATGGTCCGGGTGAGGCCGTGTGGGGTATTCTTTTTTGAGTGGGACCTTGATTGACCCACTGCAACACCTTTGAACCTTAGAGTTGATCCCAAAATAACATCAAAGCCATTTTGAGTACGATTCACATATTCAGAACCTGGGAATGAGGTGCACGAACTCCTTTGCTCAGCTGCGCCGTATCGTTGTGCCATGTTGTGCCCGTGTGCGAGGAGTCCTGCTTCCACCGGATGTTGCATCTTTTCGTGTGTACGAGTTGCCAGCCCAATGAGGTCAGGCCAGCGACGATCCGGTGATTCGGTGCGTGAAACGGAAGACGTGGATGACGGGACGCTTTCAGCGTCCCTGAAAGAAACGATTGCAGGGAATCCATCTCACAAGCTCTATCTAATATTTCAGGTGAACTTGGGGAATGCAAGATATGCGACAACACATTTTGCATTGAGATACATGGACTTCTCATTTTGACGGTACCGTTGCTCCAAACAAGCTCGATCGGATGAGACCGGATCCTCAAGTCAGATCGACTTGTCTGGACCTTGGGAGAACAGCTGGTCGAAGCTGGTCCACGGTCTCGCTGGTGAGCCACCAAGATGGACCATTTGTGTTGATGTAACACGTTTTATGGAAGTGGTTCAATCTGGTGGTGATCTTAAGAGAATCTCTTGAACAGAACGCTTTTGGTTATTTGGAAGCACCCGGCCAAGATTCAAGTTGTTGCTTGACAAGATTTGTGGGAGAGCTGTCCCATTCGGATCCTCTGCCCACTTGGTTGAAACTACCAGTCAATTAGTAGTGGATTTGTTCTGTACGTTTGTTTTTTGGTAAACATGGATTTAAGCATTTCACTGGTATTATATATATACACACTTCAACTGAACGCATTCTTTGATGCAGAGGGCGTGCCAACCTTAAGTGAGAATCCAATTCAGACAGTGAGCTCTGCTGTTTCCACTTAGCCTTTGCGAGCTCTCATGACCCCGACAGCTGCAAAGGGAGTCCTCCTGGTTCAAACGCGCTTCTCCTTGTTCACTCCCTAAGAATTTCTCCTGGTGGTTCAACCTGCATGATACCCGCAATTATTGTGTTTTGATGTTTGTATTCTTTTTGTTTACGTTTCTCTTTCTATTTTATATATACCATTTCTTCTTCTTCTTCTTCTTCTTCATTTCTCTCTCTCCCTCTCTCTCGCGGTTCATCCATGTGCTGTAAAACAAACGACTGCAGATGGTGGATGCACCGGTATGCACACACCCTCCAACGCCACCTCCTCCGCATTCCCAACCACCGATCTTCGCTGGGCCAGGCGCGGGTCTTTCGTGCCCAGCTCCCCCGGACCTGCTCGGGGGACTCGGTGTGGTCTAGACCTGCACTGACCACTGAAGAAGACCTCATGACATATCACTCAAGTTTCACAGAGCAGTGCGGTCATATTACTGATGGCATGTGAGTAAAACTGCACCCCTGGATGTTTTGGACCTGAAGGTGCAGTTTTACTGATTCGTGTGCAACAAAAGTGGCAAGATGCCTGTAAACCGGGTGAGTTGCAATGACATTCCCTTGTGGAACGGAAACAGCTTCGCAACCCAGGGCGATGTTGGTCTTTTGCTGGCCTTCCCAATGTCAATACGATCCACGCTCAGGCCCGTACTACAGTTCTGAGGAGCCAGATCGAGAAGCCCTGGTCCTAGCTGAGGACCAAACACTAAGACAAATATTACTATATCTATATTTATATATGTTATTAAAAACAACTATATTTGACGTTGGTTCGGTCATCTCGGGATTTCTAAAGATTAGATTCGCATTCCTTTGAGTCCGATCTTTGCGTGAGTCCTGTGGCCAGTAGTGAGAATCACCAAGTTTGGGCCCTTAAACAGCTGATCTTCCGCAAACTTGTCTAGAAAAGGTGTCCAATCAGGTGTCCAGTGAGAAGCACCTGACCTTCTGTCCAATTTGGACACTTCCTCCATCAGTGGACATCCTTTGGAGTCCTTCGGAGTCTTTTGCAAAGCCGTTCCGACTCCAGACCGTTCGTATCTCATTCACGTCTGACATGTTTTGGTTTCACTTGACTCAGCTGCCAACTTGGGTCGTTGGAAACTCCAAAGACCTCCTGGGGCCATCCTCACCACGTCCGAGGCTGTAGGCTTGCAGCCAGATCCGCAGCTGGAGGCACGCTTGGACAGGTTCTGTCCTGTCCTGTCTGAAAGATCTCAAAGCTTGAGGAAAACCAATCTGTTTGAGCGTGCACCAATCCTCTATTCAGACAAGTACCAGGATCTATTCAGTGAAGTTCTCGAATACCCTATACCATCTACACCCAAGTCTGGTCGGACTATAAGGAGCATCCTTTGGGGGAACCAACCCTATGAATGATTTGTCACCATGTTAAGACTGACTTCCTTTATGGCCCCCTGTACAAGACAGCACAGGGCATGTGGGATTAGTCGGCGAGCGAGTAAGTCATGAAGGGGTCCTAGTTCAGTGAATCATTACACTCTGACCAGATCCAAGTTTCCCGGTTCCTTGGCAATGGAGCTTCAACGAAGCTGTCTACAATGCAGGCTATAAAGCTGTCATAGTCAGGCATTTTATCCAAGAGCTTTGGACATTTTTTGTCATTTCTACATTTGGCCCGTGGGGTTGGGTGGTTGGGTCATTTGAACTGCCATCAGTGCTGCCAGATGATGCAAGATGTATTGATCACCTAGATGTGCTGGGCGCACCGGATGCGTCTGAGGCGCTTTGCTGCCAGGATTGTGGGCTTCGGTCCAGTTGGGAGACCCGGGCAGAACAGCCACGGCTATGTTAACAGGAAGCGCCTGGTTCTGCACAGGATGGTTGAAGCCGATGTATGACATTGTATGAGCGTCCTGCAGCTTGACCCCGTAATGATGTGCAGGGTTGGGAAAGGCAAATGGCGGCCATCCCCGTCGTGCCAAAGTATTTTTGGTTGAAGCCCATAACATACAGCGATTAGGTTGGAGGCCATTGCTATTAGGTTGGGGCCATCGCTATTAGGTTGGAGGCCATCGCTCTTAGGTTGGAGGCCATTGCTACTAGGTTGGGGCCATCGCTATTGGGTTGGAGGCCATCGCTATTAGGCTCGCTCTTAGGTTGGAGGCCATCGCTCTTAGGTTGGAGGCCATCGCTATTGGGTTGGGGCCATCGCTATTAGGTTGGCTGCTGCTGCTGCTGCTCTTAGGTTGGAGGCCATCGCTCTTAGGTTGGAGGCCATCACTATTGGGTTGGAGGCCATTGCTCTTAGGTTGGAGGCCATCACTATTAGGTCGGAGGCCATTGCTCTTAGGTTGGAGGCCATTGCTATTAGGTTGGAGGCCATTGCTAGTAATTAGGTGTGTTGAAGTCCATATAACACAGCGACGTTCCGTTTCTGGTTTGACTGAGGCTCTGCCCCGGAGGCTTGCGCCGACTGCGCACGACGTGCCAGGACAGACCCACGCCTACTCGACTCTGCCTACTTGGACACCCAAGCCCTCTTCACCCCAGGTGGAAAGCCGTTGACCCGGCTGTTTAGTAGACAACTTCATGAAATGATGTCCTGACAATTCCTGGCCACATTTTTTGACATGTCACTCTCTATACAGGAACGGAGACCCCAAGGTGGTCTTCGAGGAGCTGGAGGTACGAGCTGATGGAAGCTCGAAGCCACAAAGACTCCAAAGGGCAAAACAGTTCTATAGAAGTGTACTGACTGGTGTTGATGATTCAGCAGGTCTGTCATGGACCATATTGTTTATGTGTACTGTATATATACACAGTTGTCGAACTTGAATATCTTTACCATGCCGCAACTTTGGGCTGCAACTGGCGCTATCAAAGCACGGCAAACGCAGAAACATGGATGTGTGTGAAATCAAAATCCATGATCTTGTCAAGATGCACTGCCTCGAAGAGCGCTGGAGAACTGAAGGGTCGGCCAGCAGGATAAACACTATCAAACATTTGAGGCCAATCTAGGGAATCTGGGGAACCACTTCAACTCGGTTTCCTCTCAAGCTTGTTTTCTTTTTCCAGTTGGCTCCCACCCCCGCGCTTTGTTTAGAGCATTGACAGGACAGACACACAGACTGTTGCTTCCAGATTGAGAGAAACGCGCAATCTACTGTATCCAGACTCTTTCGGGGATGCCAGCCCAAGATCTCGCAGGATGTTATATTTTCACTGTTCGTTTGTTTTGCTTCACTTTTAATGCTTGTGGTTCCTCTACTTTCCTTGACTACATACTTTGTCCAATTGTCGCTTGCTTGCCATCATACACATGGGGTGTACTGTACTATCATGGCGAGATGCCGAGATACTGCTGCCTGAACAAGCATTGCATCTTGGCCTGTACTGTACGGACCTGCAAGAATGGGTGATCACAGAACATGCCAAGCCTCCCCGAGGCTACTACTTGGCACATGAGCGTGTGGATGAGTTCGAAAGCGCTGTGGAATACATTTTTTTTTTTAAACAGATACAGATACTGGCTTGTATTTATACATATATACATACAAGCAACCACAAGTTGTTTTTGAGGCAAACTCCCTGATTGGTGATGTTATCTTGCAACAGTCCAGGCTACTGCTGCAAAGCCTGTGCCAAGTGGGAAAAGGACTGTTGAAGTTCTTGTGCTTGTGCTTAGTTAGACTGAAACAAGAATCTGCCCGTGCTCCAGGGGGGCTTCAAGAAGAAAACGTTCCACGGCCCCCAATGCCAGCGCGAACTTGCCCCGGAGAACGCCCCGAGAAAAAACAGCAGCCTTGGAGCCACCGAGGCTTGGAGAAAGGCCTGGCCTTTAACTCAAAAGGGGTCAGTGTCAAGATATGTCAAGATGATTCCAGCAGGGTTTTCACGCAGATGTGGACTTGTCCCACGATTGTTTGCCAGATGTGGATTACGACAGAGTTCACTGGGAAGGTGGCCGGAGGACCCAGCTGCGGGTGTTCACGTTTTTACATATTCCATGCACTAAAAAGTTATTCCAGGGTACCATGTGACCTCTTGGAATAATTTTTCTGGAATAATTTCCCTGGAATAATTTTTTTGGGGGTGGGGTATCATTCTGACAGACAATTGAATTCTGCTTGAATCTTCGACCTCTGGCATACCCCTGGAATATTTTTTAAACTCTCCTACTATGTAGGTCAAGGACCCCCAGAATAATTACTAATATGTAGAGAGATGTGGGGGGGGATGCATGACAGAGAGAGTTTTGTAATTGATTGTTGCTTTGCCGCCGTAGCTTGATTTCACTAAATTATTCCATATGTATGTTACCTCTGGAAGACTCACTGAATATTTTCTCCGGCAAGGTTTCAGCAAAGCTGTTATATTTGTATAAATTATTCCAGGGGGGGGATCAATAAGCGTCAATTAAGTTATTCCAAATGTCAAATGAAAATGGAATAATATGCACAATTTAGGTGGTGGGTATGCAGAATATTTCTTTTATTATTCTGAGGGGGTATGTACATGGGGGGCCATCTAAGGCATGGTATATGTTTTTACATTTTCCCACCACTGTGAGTAAAGTCCATCTAAAGGGACAAGAACGGTCAACAATCAAAAAGAGGACTCATAGAAAGCAGGAACAACCAGGTGTAGAGGATTCAAAGGGTCCAAGAAAAAGAACAGAAACACAAAGAGGACAAAGGGTTTTGAGGTCCATTACCCATTGCGAGGCTTGTGGTAGGGGAAGAGCGCACGAACTGGTCAGTGCGAAATCGCGACATGAAGACATCCATCCCACGAACTCCAGGCTTTTTGTCAATGTGTCCATCATAAACCAGGGTATTGTGTATCATGGAGGACCCCTGGACCGCGAATCAACTCATGGTCATGCCAACAAGTTTTGTTTTCCGTGCCTCCAAGCGACAACTAGAAAGCTACTAGTCTTATTGTGCGACATGCCGTGAGTGGTAGCAGGTGTTGCAGGTCAGGGACGAGGAAGAGTTCTTGGCGATTGACTCCCCAGACTGCATGGCCAGGTGGGGCGGCAGACTGGTGGGTGTAGCAGATTGGAAGACGTCCCACCCAGGGGTCTTGGTCCAGCGTTCCCTGCAGGGTCCATGATCATCCACGGTTCGTTGATCAGTTCCTCTCGTCAGAAAAGTGATTCCTGGAAGACCAACCTCCGCTTCGCCAGTGATATAGGTAGAGAGCACCTGTTTGGTGCTCTGAGTCTTGAGTCACACTGTTTTCTGCGATGGTCTCCACAGCGTCTTCTGAAACATGTTGGAGACCATGCCATATACTTGGGCACTGGACACATGGACCACAAGTCAGTGAACGTCCCTAGGTTTTGCTTTTTGGAGGGTCAACACCTTTCACCAACCCACACTGACAGGTCCTCACCTGCTCGTCCATACGGAAATGGATGACCGGGTCTTCCAGTGGTTTAGTTTGGAGATATTCTGCCTGGTTAATGCTGCACCAGGCACCCATTCGCCTCAATTGGCGTTACACCTGTGCCAATAGCCAGATGGTGCAGCATTTGCTCCATTTGGTCTCCCCCAAATTTGTTGATACTCATCTAGAATCCAGACCTAACCAATTCACAAAACATGTCAGCACATGGCAGCTCCGTCCGGTCATCAGCTCTTCTCACCAGGTGATCTTCCGGTGATTTGTCCTGCAAGGGCCTGCCGCTCGGGACCTCGGCGCACGCACCGCTCGGTCGGCGCCAGGTATGGGAGCATTCCGGAGATCTTGGACGATGGGCGTACCATCGGCTTGGCGCTGGGCGACACGGTGGCGTCCCTCGGGCTGATGAAAAAAAGGTGGCACCTCGTGGGTGCTCGTGGGCGTGGAGCCAACTTTCCTAGAACAGGTGACATTGCAACCATGGTCATGGTAGGAGCTCCCGTAGGAGGTCTTCTGGACGTTCTTGAGTGGATTTTCAGATTTAATTTACACTTGATCGTTGCCTGAGGTTTGGCATTTGCCCGCAGAAGGAAACCTTGGTGGCGGTGAATGTGGCTCGGCTTCAGCTTCATGGGAATCGCTTTGCAATCGTTGCGGCACCGGAACAACACACATATATCATATAAATATATCATGTACACAATTATATGTATATAGATTGGGAGCTGGGTTGGCCTGTTTATGGAAGGGTCTCTGTCAATCTTAGAAACGATCTGTAAATTAGCAGCAGCTATACATTGAAGCTGACGGACTTTGGACATTACGGTATGTACATTATATATGTTGTAACTATTTGTGCATAATGTACATGTTTATTATTGAAGCTGACTCCGACGGACATTTTGCCTATTCATTGGGTTTTCGTGGTGAAACAAGACATGCAGGGCACCCATAGTGCAACCCTTCCAAAGATTTGGGAGAAATGGATGGCATGGATACTGAATGGACGCCGCTACGAACGGGGCTCCTGGCATCGCTACGAACCGAGCAAGTAGCTGGTCTGGCGCAGCTCACGTGACCTGGTCACAGGTCTGGCGAGTGAAACGACCGCGGACACAGGCGGGATGCGGGATGGGAAGGACGGAAGCGATGGGGCAATCAGAGCGGGTTGACCAAGCGCAAAACCACTGCACACCGCACACCCAACCGTTGTCTAGCTACCTGGGAAAAAGAAGGGGGAGAGATATGAGAGATCAATCTCCAAACTCTTCAATCCGTCGTTGTGAGATGCTATGACTCGATGAATCTAAAGGAGTCCCAGATGGAGTTTTGAATGAACTGCAGACTTTCGCACTTGTTCAGGTTTGTACCCGTACTTGTACCATTTCCTCATTCATGATGATTTATATATGCTGATTCATGATGATTTGTGATGATTTATGCTGATTTATAACGATTCAAGATGATTCATCATGTTGATTTTTGATGATTTATTATGATGATTTGTGATGATCTACAATGATTTATGGTGATTTATGATCATTCATGACGGTTCATGACGATGTATAATGATTTCTGATAGTTTAGGGGTGATAGTGATAGTGGCTCATTTCAATGTTTAAGTATTCTATGTGTGATTGTAGTTCTGGTTGAAGGGTGGTTAATTGAGCCGCGCTAAGAACCTCCCTGTTCATGTTTAGTAGTGGGCTTGTCATATGAATCCTTCGCGTAAGCAAACTCTGATGTGCGTAAGGTTGCGTAAGCGTTTTTTGTGAGATGAAACTTGCGTAAGCCGCGTAAGCAAGTCGAAATTTAACATACATGTCACATGTATTCTTGAAATGTTTGGAAATTCTATGGAGACCTTTGTTGATGAAGCCTTGCATTGGATCTTTTTCTTGGCAATTGGTATGGTCGAAGGTGATTGGCTCCACAGAAAGAAGGGTTCTTGGGGTTCCTGTAGTCATTTATATACAGGACATAGGCATCAGGACAGAGATTTTATGGGTCAACACATGCAAACATTACTCCTATAGCCATACAAACAACTCCCATAGCCATAAAGTCTACCAGCAGTTGTCAGACACACTATGTCACTATGCAGTTATCGGTTTTGGTGTCGGTAATACGCGTAAGGCGCGTGTAAGCTTCGCGTAAGCTGCGCGTAAGCCCCCCTCTCTTTTGTAGACGGTGGCCCACGATGCCTCCTAAAAAGCAGGCTTTTTCTGACTTGCAATGGCGCCAAAGGCAAAGCATTGTCCAGACCATCTACGAAATCCTGGCTGCTCACTGCCCTACAGCCGCGGACGTAACAAACCTGCTGTGTGCTGTGCTTTGCTTGGAAAACAGATGGCGCGTAAGCTGGCGCTGTGGCCGGGTGCAAGATTGTGTTCGCGTAAGTGTTGCGTAAGCCCCTTTGTGTGCAAAGTGTGCGCGTAAGCTGCCATTGTGGTGGCGTAAGCCAGGCGTAAGCTGCTGCGTAAGGAAAGTCTTACGACATAGGCAGATGCCACACGTTTTGAGCACAGCTCAATTGATGATGAAATGGTAGTATGGTTGGCCATACTATGTTATGCTGTGGATTAAACTATCATTGGTTTTGAACAGCAGGTACAGCCAAACAAGATTCTGGTATAGGACTTTTGTTGAAAAGCTACGGCTGACCATTTGGGGTATGATTTTCCACCGGCCTGCACTGACCATGTATGTTAGCTGTTAGAGGATAACTGGGGTGTCATGAACGGCCCCAGCCAAATCAGCGACTTGGGGTAGTCAGGTCTAGACCCAACATCCCACTACTGGTTTAAATGCACACACACACATATATATATATATATCTCAATATCTTCCAATCAAGATGAGCAGTAATGTTGATGGTGTGGATGTTGCAGAACCACAAATCCTATTTTTGGTGTGTGCTGTTGATTCATACCTATAACGTTCGCATGAGAACAATAAACCACCACCTGCAATCACCTACAATTTTACCATAAAACGGTTGCATTTTCACTATCGACTTGAATGGGTGGTTCATTCGTGTCGTGCCCATGACGTTCTCAGACTTGGGCCTGGTTCAAGAATTCCAGGTTGGACATAGCACAGTCCACACCAACAGGAGTAGTATAGTGTATATAGTATACCATAGATCTAGCTAGACAATTAGTTGTGTAATGCTTGATACAAAGACGAGTTGTTGTAAATTCATAAATGTACACATCTTGTTTGTTCATCTACATGCGAATCGGGTTTGGTAACTAATTTTGCGAAATCATGCAATTGTGACGCAGCATCTTAAGTTTTCGGCTATCAGTTGATATCCAAGTCCAAGCGTGCCAGAAATCCTAGTGGCCAGACCTTGATTGAACGTAAGGCCCAGAAATATCATCCTTGTGTCCTTTTGTCGAATATGTTTTTATATATATATAATGATTCATGCTGCGATGGATACCTGCCATCTATATATTATGTATCGTCAGTAGCATTTGCACAACGTGTACCTCCTCCTGGAGATGTACCGTCACTTTCTGTAGCACTCAAAATGCTCCGACACAAGGCTGGGTCTTGTATTAACTGAAGTTTGTTCTTTTCTAATTTTTCTACCTCTGGAATATGCACCTATTTTTTCAATGATGTGCCAGTGATTGCTAGATTGCATTCTTTGAGGTATTCCTAGATGTGACTCTGTAGGACGAGGGTGTCGGTATTCCTCCAAGAGAACCCTCTGAACATTTACAGGCATTGTGTAGCCCCTAATCAAACGGTGTCCCTGAGAATCCGTTTGTCTCACCGCTGTGCCGATCCAATTTCGATCTCACCGCATCTCACCGCAGGGAAAGCCAAAGGCCGGACCCGGAAAAATGCCGAGCTCGTTTGGATACGCCACGTGTATCGGATACGTCGGAAACCGCTCTGGAAACCTTTTTTTCTTCCCTTTGGAGTCGCCACGGCTCCACTTAGTTGGAGCAGCTCAAATATCAATTGGACAGAAAGGGTAAGAAATAACGAGTAAGGTAGGTAGTACTGTAGGTAAGTTTGTACTATCTACTTTTGCACCTCTATGCCTTGATGAGTCAAGGAGTCATCTCACCTGGTTGAGCTTGCAAGTGTGCTTTGTTGGCGGTCGGAGGCAGCGAAGGATGAGGAGGCCAGTGCATCTCACATTGCTGTTCAGAGGTCCCAGCGCGTCTCTTGTACTCTTCACAAAAAACAGTAAACTGTAGACCTGAATCTCGGGTTTTGTTCTCGAGTGATTTCTTATGTTAAATTCAACAGTACAAACATGTATTCAGTATTCAGGTCAACAAATGGATGGACAGTTCTCAACAAATGTTTCAAGCCAATTCACTTTCCTCCCTCTCTCCTCCTCTCTGTGTAGTAAGCACTTTTGATCTGATAGTTGTAGCCATACAGACGAACCTATCGAAGTTTGACAATTCTTGCAACGAGACTATGATGTGAGCCAGAAGTTGAAGTTGTGTAGGAAGTTCGCCTTTCTCTCTTAACTGCGTTCGGCTAGAACGCACCTGATCTGGATTGAGGTGACGTGCTCGTTGGCGACACTCATGGTTCAGACATGTCCGTCTCCCCCCCAAAAGTCTTTTAGTGTCCCTCTTTGGTTTGTCCAACAGCACTGGTGCACGCGCTAGCAGGTTCGTGGCCCTTTGCGAATGCTTGGGTGGGCGACCCTCGGACTGCAGAGTGGGCCAAAGAAACTGAAAGGGGGAGAGAGAGAGAGAAAGAGAGAGAGAGATAGAGAGAGAAAGAGAGAGCGAGAGAGACAACAGGGAGAACAGCAAAGCCAACGTAAAAGAGCAACAGGAACAGGACAAGTCATTACGCGGGCTCCTATTTTGTACCTGGTGCAGTCTCCTCACAGCTATCCGGCTATCATGCCGTGGTGAGGGTGGCTTCCTTTAGTTGATCCTCGTGAGGTTGGATGATGCGCAGAACTTACCTCGGACCGAGAAATACGGTGACCCAAGGAGCTCACATAAAAACCGCTCCTTGGTCTGTTGAAATGGAGGGTTAGGGGAGAAGGTTTACAAGAACTTTTGGATGCCCGGTATGTCAGAGACACCTCTTAACAGCTGGGCTATGACGGACTGGACCCTTTCGCCCAGGAAGGCCAACAAGGGGCACTACCGGATCCTGTGCAAGGAGCGGGGGACATTTCGAGCGGGTTTTCGCCGACGAAACGACGAAGAGCGGCGACCACTTTGACGGGCAGGACCTCTTCGAGCTCTATGGCCGAGATGCTGAAATTGCGCCAGAAGAGGTGAGACAAGGGAGTGAAGGGCCAGACATGAGCCGGGATGAGAGACTCCCAGTATGGATGCCCTTGTTGTCTCCGTCCGCATGTGTAGCACATGAGTGTTTAACACAAAGAGATAGAAATGGTATTTGCATGTATTTGTCCTGGTTTCCAATACGTGTTCCAGTTGGGGAGTTGTATAACTGATTCCTTTAGTCATCTACTCATCTACTACATTTGGGATCACAATATTATATATATATACATACACGCCTAACATCATGTAAATTTTTGACCCTAAGGAGTGAATGGGTCGCGGATTTGCTTAAGATATGAAGCCCCAGAAGTCCCGGACTGAGCAGGGGAAGTTGGAGGAGTCCTCATCCAACGAAATTCACTTTTTGGCAAGCCCCCGCATCCATGAAACTTGTGTTGGCAGAGGTTCAATGGGTGCAAGACAGCCAATGGGTTCGCAGAAGCTGATTGAAGTCTCAAAGACTGCCAGAAATAAGGATGAATGGAACATCAGAACAGTTAGTGAACCCATTTCTGGAGGATTGACGCTTAAGTTTCCCTAGAAATACTTCAAGGAAGCTCCCCCCGCCCTCTGGCGGGGGGAGCGTCCTTGAAGAAGCGTGAGCTATCGTGCGTCCATACTAGTAGCTTAAGTAGGGTACTACTGTAGCTTACTTGATCAAGTAGGCGCTTACTTAATTGAGTAGCGAGCGGGGGGAGCGGGCCAACGAAGAGGTGAACCCATTTCTGGACTGGAGGATTGAACAATCTTTTAGCGGCCTTGCCAAGCCAGGTGCCCAGCGACTTGAGATCGGGCGATTGGATCTCTTTCCTGGTTGAGGACTGCGGAGCACGGTTTTCTCTTAAAAGACCGCGGAAACAAGAACCTTCAAGGAAAGACTTGGACCTGAGGTGAGCTGTTGTTTGAAGGAATTGACCTGAGTTGTGCGACTAAGACTTTATACGCTTTCTATCTCTAACGATCCCTTCGGGTCAAGGCTTCAAAGCAACCCAAAGCGACTTGAGTTGGCCTGAGGAGCCGCAGACGTCTTCGGATGCGTTGTCGGCCACCGACATCCAGGCGACCGGGATCGACCCCGAAGGACCTGTTTTTTCCCGCGCTCGACCGGTGCTGCACGTAACAGGTGCTTTCGAAGCCGCCAGCTCCCGTGCCTATGGGCGATGGCGAGGACGGCGAGGGCAGGAAGGGCAGACATTTTCCGCGCAAACAAAATGTCCCAGCTGCCGAAAAGCTGGAAAATTGCACACTGTTCATGTTCGATGAGGTGGAAAAAACAGTATTCTTGATGTCGCTCACAAAACCACTGACCCCAGGACTTGGATGCGAAGCAATTGAAGCTCTCCAGAGAGCCGGCGCGAAGTGGGCGCGAAGTGTCGAACATCTGAAGGGAGATCAGGTCATGGGCGCGTAGTAATCCAACCCTGCGGGTTGGTCATCCAGGGTTTTGATTATCCAGTAACCCTGCAGTCAGGGTTGGTCCTCCAGGGTTTTTCAGTCCTGAAAACCATGATTTCGCCAGCCAAGCACCCAGTCCGTGCAGAATCAGACCACTGACAAGAATGAAGACTTCATCCTCCACACAACCACCCTGCTGACTGAGCTCCACTTCATGGACCAGGCTTCAGGTCTTTTAAGGTCAGTCCATGCTCTTCACTCAGGGGTTGGTGGATGGGGCCACTGAGGTAGTGCGACAGCCTCCCAAATCCCAACCTTCTTCTCCCGCGACGGAGCAATAGTGAAAAACAAGTTCCACTTTTGAAGCTTTGTCAAAGGCAAAAGTCCTTGTCATATTTTGTATGGGAACACTTAAGTCTCTTGAGGTTCCTTTGTTGCTTGGCACAGTAGATGCAGAACATTGCAGAACTGTGAGCATAGTTCTTGGGTGCTCAGCTTCCCAAATGGTTTCATGAATTTTGGATGTTCTTGGATCGTGAGGGTCATACTTCTGGAAATTCATTTATAATAGATAAATATCCGAGGATTTTTTTACAAGGTTGCTTCCCTGCCGAACTTGTTTTTTCTTAAGGTTTTGTGTTCTGGGTACGTGAAATGAATTGACCGGTCTTTATTTTTGTGACTTTTGCGTTAGGGTGACCGCTCCAAATCACTGTATGGTTTGCGTGTGCAAGTCTTCCATGTGGTAGCAAAAAAGGGAACACACAATTTGCCCTCAATGTGCTCTACTTTTTATGCCATTGTTGCGTTGCTCCTTAGAAGCATGCGCTACTACCAGTCAAAGCTCTTGTGCAGGTGCCTAAACTTTCAATTATCCGGCTCTCCTTCGGACAGCGCTATAAAGATGAACATCGAAGATAGGTGATGTTTAGGACACTGTTTGAACCTAGGACTTTCCAAGAATTCTCCCGACCCGGGCGAAATCGGGCCTGTTCAGGCCCTGGAGTCTTTGGGTGCGGACTCTTCTGCGCCCTCCCGGGAGGACAAAAGCGGAGCGGTTGGGCGTTTTGGTCGCGTCCGATCGCTCCGGACTCGTAGCGATGCCAGGAGCCCCGAGTAAGTAGGCGAACCTTGTTCCTACCGGAGCGGACGTGATTCGAGGAATTTGTGTCACCCAATCTTGGACGGTGATGGACATTCCAATGAACATGATCACCGGAGTTTTTTTTTGAACGTCACATTGGATGTTGATGGATGGTATAGCAGATGCACTTCACATGCCATGTCCTTTTGGGGCCTTCTGACTAACATTAGTCAACATCAATGAGTTCAATTGGTTCTAGAAAGAGGACAATTTGCAGGAGCAAGTTACTTCGAAGGTATTGGAGGCTCACGTTCTTTAGTCGTCTCCCTTTCCTGTCCATGGCCCATAATGCTGGCACTCATTTAGTTTGCACATGCTTGCACAGGTCAACTTCTAAAGGTGCGTGAAGGCATTGATGCAGAGAGGCTTTTAACTTTTGGTCATCATAGGAGTGGAACATGATTCTTTCTGTAGGATTTCTGTACATGCCAGAGTTGGGAGTGTAGGGCCTAGGTCTTAGGGATCATATGGAGGCACAAAAAAACAAGAATCGAGTGCTGCGAATAGATCACCGGCTCAAGGGGAGCTGAAAGATGCAGGTAAGGGCAATCTCAGGTGAAACCATCGTTGAGCTTGAGAAAGATGAATTGGGTCTCATGCTGGAGACCGGCAAGTCTGTGAGAGACTTGAAAGAGGTCCTTGCAGCTCAAACTGGATACTCACGCTTTCGGCAAAGGCTCCTGGGTGAAGATACTTCCGAGTTGCAGGATCAGATGCCACTTCAGGCACTTCCAAGTGTGCAATTGGTGATCTTGGATTTCTGTCACTGTGCACATTCTGAGGAGGAATTACTACTTGCATGCGAAGCAAATCGCTTGCCAAAAGTAGAAGAGTTGCTGCAGAGCCCGCTGGATCCCAATGCTACCTCTGCCGGGAGAATTCCAGTGCACGCTGCGGCTGAGAAAGGACACTCAGATGTGGTGCGATTGTTGCTGGAGGCTAAAGCTGAACCAAATGCTTCAAGTCCACATGGCACCAATGCCTTGCATTTGGCTACTCAAAATGGCCACTCGGAAGTGGTGCGATGGCTACTCCAAGCTGGAGCTGATCCAAACGCAGCAATGGATTTGGATGTGACGGCAGTACATATGGCGGCTTTGAAAGGCTACCCTGAAGTGATGAGTTTGTTGCTGGGGGCTGGGGCTGAAGCCAATGTAACCATGGCAAACGGTTCGGCACCTTTGCTACTGGCAGCTCACAGTGGCAACTTGGAGTTGCTGCGACTATTGATTGACGCCCAAGCTAATACTAACTATTCAGTGAGCAATGGCTTGACAGGCTTGCATGTAGCTATCCAAAGAGGTCACTTGGAACAGGTGCGCCTGTTGCTCAAGGCTAGGGCTCAAGCGACTGCAACTTTGGCCGGGACCACACCAGTCCAAATGGCACTAGAGTCTGGCTTTCCGGACTTGGTGCAATTGCTACGTCAAGAAGAGGGTCAAACGCCAGCTGATGGAAAAAGACGTCGCGTTGCAGCAAACGGGATGCTGTTGGTCGAAGGCTGCTGGGAATGAGTTCTGCGACTTTTGGCCTTGTGATGTTGAACTCCTTGGGGTTGTGGCTGATCAGTGCTGACGAAGTTGGGTAAGCCCACAATAAAGGCGGACAAATCATGAGGTGTTGAACTTTCTCCTCTTCTACTACCAAGGTGAAATCTCCAATTCTCTTTTGATCCACTCCTGATTTCAATTAAATTGAAGAGGAGCTGAGGATGGCTGCGCACTTCTTTTAAGATTAACTTAAGATCTATACCGTGTGGGACCAGTTGTTGGAACATAAAGTGAAATCAATAAATTCAGGTATTTGAAATGTTGACCTGACCTCACATAGGGATCACGTCCCCCTCTACGCAGGACACACAGGACCTGCGGACGCCCGAAGAGTGGGCCGGAGCGCAGGAGCGTCTCTTCGGACATTTGTGCGGGACTCGGGACTCGGGGGTGGGGAGAGCAGCTTCTCCCGGTGACCGGAGAGGGAAGCAGCGTCCATGCGTTCATTTGCCGAAGTGTACACTGCTTGAAACCATCATGGAAGTGGAAAACCAACCATCCACTTCTTGCAGAACTTGTTCTAAACAAAAAAGCAAATCAACCCTTCGGACTTACGATCTCTATGGATGACAACCTTGGTTCCTCCAAGGTTTGAGGGTACAGATGGTAACAGGTGGATTGTCTAAATTTGAAGGTTTGTTAGTGTTGGTTCTCATTTCATTGCCGCTAGGCCGTTAGGCTTGTATAGGTTTTGTAGATGTAGATTGTGAAAACGAGGTTTTAGGATGGTTTTGGGCATGTATTTTTTGGGTGGTCCAGCTTCAAACCATGGAACTCACCATTTGGTATTGCACGACTCTCCGGTACCCCGTGCATCCACATGAATCCACCACCTCTCAGTGCGAAGCGCCACAGCCCCGTCGAGCTTGCTGAGGCCCGCCCTGCCTCCGAAATGGATCCGAATTGTGGGGAAGTCTACAGGGAAGGCCGATGGAAGATGTGTTCTTGGCTCCATGAAGTGTGTTTGTGAAAATGTGCAGAATGGTCGGCAGGTGTTCTTCTACAACATGATCACCGGCGAATCAACGTCTTCTGCACCACCCACGGCTGAGAAATCGTGAGAAAAAGAGCCGCAGGATGGGATTCAGAGGAGAGATGTGAAAGGTGCCCATCCCACAGAGACCTCCTGAGACCTCACATTATTCCAGGAAGGAGGGCATTCATTGGTGTAATTGATCGTGCATGGGGCCTTGACGGGCCTTGCATCGAGACGGGCTTTTCACTTGTTTTTCTCACCATATCACTGTCACAAAGAGTGATTATTCTTGTTGATCCCTTCAAGCGGAATCTCCCTTCAAGCGGTTGAGTTTTGCCACCCAATGTGCAGATCTCTGTGGACACTGCAGAAGTTCCAGAGGAGGAGGAGGAGCGAAGATCAGAGTCTTCGGTTGACCATCACGCCGACAAGCCCTCGCCATGCCTCAACTTCAGGAGGTGGCCGTTGAAGCCAGTGCGGCTGAACAGAAGGCAGAGGAGGCCTCCCCAAAACACCTGGAGCTTGCTATGGGTTTGGATCAGTAGGGTATGGTTGAAAGCGAGTTCTTGCAGACTTTGCTCAAATCTGTACCTGATGAAGTGGATTGGCGGCCAGCCAGCCAACTTAGTGAGGTCCCGAGTCCTTGAACAAGGCAAATCAGATATGGACAACGAGTGCAAATGATTTGGGCTTCACTAAATCAACCAATGTGTGTTGTGGCCTTTTTGGTGCATATGTGCCACATCCGTATGTGACTTAACTTGGCCCTGCACATTGGTACTTGCTGTTTTGCCTTCAACCTCATTTAAGATCATTTAAGGGGATGGGTCGAAAAGTCTTGCTTCATCCCATCTGGGATTTTTTGGTAAGTCGCAACCGTGGGGTATTTGGTGAAGGAGGGTAATTTGATTTACAGATATTCCTGCATCTCCCACAATAAATACTTTTGGGACCCAGAGAGTTTCCTGCCCAATCTAGTGTCTACTAATGGGCAGGATTTTGGTCGAACGCACAGCGACGAACCCCACCGCGGGGACTGGGTTCAGTGAGGGTTTGTTCGTCAAAGAGGGTTTGGACTCAACCCTGTCTGAGTCTTGACTCAATATTGCCAAAAACTGTTTGTCAAATGGGCCAACAAGGTGTTGTACTCAAACCGATGTTTGGAATTGACTCGACATTGCAGCATACTGCAGCTGCAAAATTGGGTACTCCTCACCCTGACCACGACTGCCCCAAAGGATGGTAACGACCCAGATGCCTATGCGGCGGCTGTGCGAGAATCTGCGGACGCGGTACAAGGCAGGTGCTTTAAGCATCAGCCACAGGTGAGGAGAAAGTAGCCCTCTCAGTATAGTGGGGGAAGCCTCAGAGTAGGCCTGTATGCTTGCTGGCCTGTTCAAGACTTTCATCTTGAGGACTCCCATTGGATTAATTAGGGCATATTAGATCAACTTTGTCCATATGAGCAACCACTTTTATCGCTTTTATTTAGCCTTTACTAAAAGTAGTCCACGGCATGCTCTATTTGCTTGTCAATCATCAGTATTCGCTTGTGAACGAGATAGGGCCCCCACATAAACGAGATACTTTTGCTTGATGACACTCAAGTAGTCTGAACGAGATAGCGTGATTTGCTTCTAAAGTAGTCTGAACGAGATACTGTGACATGACCTCCTACTTAAGTAGTCTAAACGAGATGCGGCCCCCACAGAATAGATAGTGTATTGGACTTTAGTACCAAAGAAATTCTGCCGCACATATGGGGTTTCATGAAGATCTCTTTCAGCAGCACCTGCTCTGAAGCCACTTCTCAGCAGACACCTGGAGTTCTGGGCACACCATGTTCTTGTTACTACTAGCTTCTTGTTACTACTAGTAAGGCACCTGTTACTAC